AATTTCATAACTAACTTTCGTTTTCACTAGCTTTCGATTGGTTTACGGTTTCAAAATGAAGGATGGATCATTGTGTCCTCCACGTGGGTTTGGCTCATAATAACATACTGCTAGAGGAGCTCCACATAGTCCAGGATTCCCAACATAGCATGAAACATCAAAACTCTGAAGCTGAGTGCCAATTGGTATTTGTCCAACAAGGTTATTGTTTGACAAATTCAAGAAGCTTAAGAACGACAAAACTGAAATGGTATCAGGGATTTCTCCAACAAGATTATTCTGAGATAAATCAAGAGATTCTAAGTTTATCATGCAATACTCAAATAATCCAAACTGTTTTCCCTACCTATTTTGTGGCAGATCAGAGGAGAAATGGATCCTGCAAAAGAATTTGCATGCAAATCCAAAAAGACGACATTTTCTGATATACGTGGGAGCCCTCCTCCTAAGTTATTATCGTTCATAAATATGATTTCTGAGTTTAGCGTGATATTTGATAAGTCTGCACTGATGTTGTTGTGGGACATGTTAATTTCTGTAATATTAGCCACGAATCTCCAAAATGTGTCTCCATCAACGGATGAAACCCTAGAGTTAGGAAACTCAAGATATTCTAATGACCTTTGTGTATGTATCCATGCTGGAAACTTAGGACCTAGAATTGTATGACTTAAAATTAACCCATTCAATTGAAATGGAGGAATCCATTTAGAATTCAGATCAAATGAAAATGTTGCATCCAAGAATAGAGTTTCTAAATGCAAAATCGAGTAAACAAATCACTGTAACTACAACTATCAATCCAAAATTTAGAAGGATGAAGAAATTTTACCTTATAGTGGAGATGGTGGTAACGAATCCGAACGAAGCGAGTTGGAGAAGAAGATGAACCACGTCCACGGTGAGGAGGGAGGAGACGAGTTAGACGAAGATGAACAGTTGCGTGTATAAAGTGGGGTATTGTATAACGTGGGGTTTCTGATAACCAATTTAGGGATTTAGAAATTATTTAATTACCTTAGACAGCGCTTTCAAGAAGCGCTGCTAAAGGTATTACCTTTAGCAGCGCTTTAAGGCTTTAGCAGCGCTTTAGTGTAATGCCTTTAGCAGCGCTTCTTGAAAGCGCTGTCTAAGGTATACCTTTTATCACACCTTTAGCAGCGCTTTTGGTAAGCGTTGTCTAAGGTATACCCTTTAGCAGCGCTTATTCTTATTTTTTTATTGAAAACCTATAGCAGCGCTTAGGGAAAGGAAGCGCTGGCTATGATAAAACCTTTAGCAGCGCTTTTAGTAAGCGCTGTCTAAGGTATACCCTTTAGCAGCGCTTATTCTTATTTTTTTATTTTTTTTATTGAAAACCTATAGCAGCGCTTAGGGAAAGGAAGCGCTGTCTATGGTAAGGCCTTTAGCAGCGCTTTTAGTAAGCGCTGTCTAAGGTATACCTTTAGCAGCGCTTACTCTAATTTTTTAATTTTTAATTTTTTTGAAAACCTATAGCAGCGCTTATGGCATAAGCGCTGTCTATGTGGCGCTGTCTAAATTCAATTTTGGCATAGTGTATGAAGAAAATATTATGTTTGAGTTATGTTATATTGTCTTAGGATGTTCAAATCATTTAACTAGACACAAGGAATGGATCACAAACTTGACTCAAGCAAGAAACTAATGTCAGACTTGCAAAAAGCAGTTATCTTACAACATAAGGCATATGTGATATTGTAATAAAAAATAAATAATGGGAAGAATGCACTTATTAAATAGATACTTTATGTGCATGAGATGATGTGTAACCTACTGAGTATAAGGCAACTATTAAATAAGGGCTTTTCAATTATAAATAAGAAACATGACCAGACTTAGCATGACTAGAAGTATGTTAAAGCACAAGAACAATGCTAATATGTAATAAGAACATGAAGTTAACACAACCACCTATATACTAAACAAATGCTTCACTAAGAAGTTGAAGATGAAAATTCCTAAATAAACTTCTTAGAATGTCCACCTTTTTTATATTATGTGAAGATTTCAATTGATCTAGTCACAGTCATACGAGGCATCATATTGCATATCCTTAGGATTTAAGAATGGTCAATCAATCTTTTTAACAAATTGGATTCTTACATCATAAATTTTGTATAAACCGGTAGCATAAACATTAAAAATTTGATTACTACATCTTGAAAGATTATTTTCCTATCTTTATCTAAAAAAGGACTTGGCTTGAGAGATATTAAGTTAATAAACAATGTTGATTATATATCGCTTTGTTATCCGTTATTTTCTACCAAAAATCAATGGTCTTATATATTTATTAGTAGATACTTCTTGTGGGTAAGACAATGACATGGTTCCAACAAGGATTTTCGATAGGTAACAACAAATTGGAATAATCTTCTTTTCAATTCTAATCATGATGAGAGAGTTTTGAGTCAAAGTCATCATCTAGATTTTTTCATAATAGAAAGTTGTGACCAAATTGACCTATTGTTGGGAATTGTTCATTCTTTGATTTGTGATAGAAGTAAACCACTGCATATATAAAACCAGCAACCCATTTTAACTTTTCTCAAATTCCTTTATGATGTTATCAGTTTTGAAAATTTCTACTTGGAGGCAACCAATGGTAATTTGAAGATTCCTGCATGTAAAAGAATTAAATACTTGAGCAAGAGAACATATATATGTTTTAATTAGAGTTATATTTTGATTGTCTACCTACCTGAACCAGTGAGTTACATGAGTCAATTCCTTGTAACATACAACTAAAAGGAACATTAGAAGTGTTGTTCATGTCACTGAAAATGTCACAAGGCTCTCATATATCTGATCATAAATCATGGTCCTTGCCTCTTTTTACCATCTTCTCAAAAAGTATTGCTCAGGTGTTCTTAAAATCCCTTTAATCTTATACCAAGCTTATCAAATCCACCAGCCTCTTCATCTAAATAACTCCAAATATTAGTAACTTTCATTCCAGCATTTACCATAGACTTTATGAGACCTCTTTTACCTTGTCATACGTTTCTCATAGAACGTAAGAAAAATAGCTAATTAAAGAAAAGAGTATCACATCTTTGTTGTTATACTCTTTTTTTTTTTTGCCACCTAAAAAGATTGACGCATTTTATTGTTCGATTGCTTTTATTGTCGTTGTATAATCATTATTTATTAATAAAAGAGCACGCTTCAAAAATACATTTACACTAAAAAACAAAGCACACCAAATGATGTCTCATATTTAGAGGCACAAATATGTTATGGTGGTACTATTATTATGGGTCTTATCATTGTCACGAGGATAACACACTTATTCCATTTAGCATCATTATTTATTTTGCCACTGTCTCTTGGATTGGATGCCAGAGAGAATAGTTTAGTGTTAATCCTTCCATTTACGTCCATTCTGATCATTCTGTTTACAAAGATATTACAGAATAGTTTTCAAAATTTTTAAAACAAACTTTCTTTTCTACAAATTCTTTTCTAACGTGTTTAAATTGTTTCTTAAACCCCTTTCATAACTTCAAAAGCTGTCAAACTCCAATAAAAAATTATAGAAATTTCAACTCTTACTTTTTATTAAGATTTTTACACTTTATGTGACTCCTACTTAAACAAGTAAGAGCAATCCTATTTAAAAGTCTTGAACATACCAAAAATAAAAATCACATCAGACTTAAAATAGAATCTATCATCTAATGAATCCAATCTAATATTCACGAAGTAGAGCATTATCATTGTGTTTCCGATTTGCCTAAGCACTTCACGTTGTGCAGCTCGCCCAAAAAATATGATTTTCTATCTTTTTCTCATTTGAAAACAAATGTGCATATTTATAAAAAAATATATATAAATATTTAAAGAAAAAGTTTAAAATGATAAAATATTTATTTCAAAATAATGTTAATAGTAATAACAACTTAAGCACAACCAATGAAAAGTAAAAACCAAAAAGTTAGTGAAAATTAAATCACAAAATATTTTTTAATTAAATAAATTATTAATATTAATTTTAAGAATACAAATTAATATAAAATTTAGAATTTATTTTATGTATATCTGTAAGATAAATTGTAAATTATAAAAAAAATTAAATAGATTAAATAGAATAAAATTATACCAAATAAATGATATATAATTAACTATCTATTTTAATGGAGACTATTATTATTCTTTGAATTATTGATAATATATTTCATATTCTTTCAATTTTAAATTGTTATTTTCTATTATAGGTCTCACAAATTTTTACTCCGTCCAACCTTATTTTTTTTGGAACGAATTAAAATTTTATGTCCGTTCCCTTAATTTTATCCGTTTTATTCCGACTTATTTTTTAATAGATATTTATGTGACAAACAATACCCGTTTATTACCCCCTAAATACACATGTTCTACATTCGTAAAGTTTTTTTGAAATACAATTCATCTGTTAACATTTCACCGGTTGAGCTGAAAATTCACGGAAAGAGAACTACTCCTCATAACCATCTCACCACCAATCCCAAATATTTTACAAACAGTCCAACATTTTTTATGAAACATAGAGAGAAATAAAGAAATTAATCATAACACTTGAGGAACATAATGAAGCATGACAGTGTTTTTTATAATTATCAATGGGGTTGTATATTTCAACCCTCTAGTTGTACACATCCACTTTAAAGAATGAACAAACAACAAGTTTAACTTAACACACATTAAGAATCATTTTAAGAATAACCAAAATAAACGAAACTAACATAAACCAATGTTAAATACATAAACACAATAGTTTTGCAAATGTCATAAAATAGTTTTTGAGGTTCAAGAGCTTTTTTCGAAACTAACTATTCTCCACTGCTGCACACATTTGGACCTAAAATATACACAACAAAACTATTGTCAAACAATGTCTTTTAGTAAATTTTTACCATATGTTATCATGTCATGTTTCTACTTACCACCAAATGCAGTTCTTTTTTTGGTTCATGAAGTTGATGCTTTTCAAATGTCAGTCATTTTTTTTTCTTATCAGTTTTCTTCTTTGAACCGCTGCATCAATTGTACATAGTTAATGAAAAGTCAACTTCTAGTGTGTTGTAATAATTAACTTATGTCTATGTATTTTGATTATACCTTGCACTTGGTGATGGCATAATATCTGCATGTTTTGCCATACTACGCAAAGTTTCCAATTGAGTCATATACTCCATGCTATCATCACTTTGGTATTGAATCTGCATCCATATGATTGTCAAATAACTACTTAGTTAACTCAATCTGACACTGACACATATGATTATATGATTATATGATTATATTAAATTATGTTATTTTCTAAAATTATTATAAATGTCAAACATGTCTGTATATGTATTATGTCTGGTGTGTGTATGTGTGAATGTTGTTTAAGAGTATAATCAATATTTCGAATAATAGTTTTATTAACTAGAAGTTAAAGAAAAACATACTATGAGCTTGTTCTTTTCAGGGCAATAACCAATAACAGTTCCAAGGGATCTGATTCCATTAAGTTCTTTACAGATATAGAATCCTCTAAATTGATAAGGCTCATAAGGTTCTTCTTTAGTCGCATTTTCCCGCTTAGCATGCCACGGTCTGCGCTTTGTTTTCAATTCTTTTTTGGTCTGTCAAAAAATATATAACACTTTTCATCAAAATTGAAATAAAAAATATAGTAATTTTATTTTAAACCAATGCTAAAAATTAAAAATATACTAATTGAAATCAAGAGGATGCAATGACATACAGATTTGCGAGTAGATTTTAAATTTTCATTCTTTTTGCTCTTAGCACTCTCCTTTGGTTGTGAGATTACTTCAGTTTGTTTAATGTTGATATCTTTGCTTGAAGAATGACTATCTTTAAAAATAAAAAATCAAATTTAGAAATCTACACTAATAATGTAAAATAAATAATTATCCAAAATTGTCACTTAAGTCTATAATGTGTCTTTACACTAATAAGACATGTTTTTACTATAATTCATAAATTGTTCAAAACTAAATTCCGTCCAATCTAATAGTCAGATGGATATATATATATATATATATATGTGTGTGTTTTGACAAGATTTTTGATTTAAATAAATAATTTTGAAATTGTGAAAGGTTTCTTAAAAGCAATTTCACTATGCTATGTCATATAAAATATTCTAAGGTCCTGAACGAATCAAAGTTTCTCTTACCTGAAGTTTTTTCTTTCTTGCTTGAGCTTTTTCCCTCAATTCTTAAACTATCTTCCATCTTTCTTTTTGAAGTGATTTTCTTTTCATTTGCAGCTAATTTCCTAGCTAATTCCCTTTTCCTTTCAAATTCAATTCTCACCTCTAACGGATTTCTGCAATCATAAATATTTCATATATAATTAATATAGATATCGGTAAAGATTTCAAAATTATAATTATAACTAAATTGGTAGACATTCAATATGAAAAGAGGTATGTGCTTATATATTTTACTATACCTTTTCGGTTTTGTTAGTTGAACCTCGTAAATCTTATCCTTTTCTGCCAAATGACTGAAAACTTCATTATAGTTCAAATACTCCAGGCGGCTATCATTTTGGTACATAACCTAAATATCAAAATAATCAATGTTAATTAACAAGTTAATTAATAATGATATTATAGAAAAACCAGCATTTTGTAGAAGTTTACATTTTTTTTTATAAAGGATTATAGCTTATCAAGGTTAAAGAGATCATACTTCAAACAATTTGAGGGAAGTCATGTAAGTAATAACAGTTCCAAGAGATTTAACTCCTTCAAATTCTTTGTAGATATCACACCCTATAAATTTTCTACAATCTATCATAACCTTCTTTTCTTCAATGATTTCATACTCATTTGGGTTGACTTCTTTTGAACTCTGTGCAAATAAAACATGAAAATATAAGATTTAAGTCATTATACTAAAAATTTCTTACAAGAAGATTAAGTTTTTGTATAGTTTAGGTCTAACCTCTATTTTTCCAATAAAGTCATTTGTTTTTTCAGTTGAAGTAATGTTTTGGACTACTCCAGAAGAAAAAGAAGATCCATCTTCATCTATGATTTATATAAAATTTAGAAATTATTAGAACGAAATTTACACTCTATTATAAAAATAGGGATAAGACTGTGTACATCTGATCTCCAGAACTTATAAAATAGGAGTCTGGTACAATAGGTTACTCATTTATATACACCCACGCCATATTTGTTTATATACATAGACCAAGAGTATATTTTATAAACAATGATAACCTTAAGTTAATTCATACAATTTAAAGGAGATAATAATGTCTTATTATTTTTCTTTACATCTTTGTATTGTGGAGATTGTTTATACTTTCTTATCTCTGTCACATTTTTAAATTATTTCTCTTCTTATTTTTTTTTGTTTTGTTGAAACTATCCAAAAACAATTTGACAAAATTTAATGGTATGATAATTCAGTACAATAGATCAATTTCGATCATTCGTTAATACATTTGATTTTTCAACTTTGCCTCCAACAGAATAAAATAAAATAAAAATATATTTTAATTTGTAGTATAAATATTTACGGTTTAATCATACACAAGAATCATATCAACAAATATAAATTGTAGATTTTTATGAGAAATAATGAAATTTATAAACTATATATCAATTAAAAGTGTATAAATCAAACATAAATATTGTATACATCTTAATTGAAACAAATTAATTTACCTTCAATAGTGAAGTTTTGAGCATAATCACTGTCCCCCATTTTAAAGTGATGTTTTTCAAATCCCTAAAATTCCATCGGAAGATTAAAAAATCAAATTAATTTCTTTGTGGTTACAAGATTAAGAAGCTAACCAAACAATAAATCTATAAAACTTAAACAATAAACAATAAATCTATGAAATCAAGCAATACCTCTTTACACCCTTAAGAATTGAGAAATAAATTGTACCCTCGCAAAATGAATCTTTAAGAAAATATATTTGTAATCCTAATTTTCATAATTTTATGAGTTTATATAGATGCATTATGTCTCTAGAATGTTCTCCTAATGAAATTTGAATTTCGTAAATTTTTTTCCCGGTTAATTTTTTTACCATATGTAAGTTTACTAAAAATATAAATTTTTATTAATTTAATATTCAAACCAAATAAAATAATAGTACATATAATAATGAATTATATTTTTCTTTTCATTTAAAAAAACATTTCCATATATAATATATATATATATATATATATATATATATATATATATATATATATATATATATATATATATATATATATATATATATATATATATATATATATATATAAACCCATACATACATGTCTAGAATAGTACATACACGACGTTAAAAATTGATATTGAAATTTGAATCATAAGTGTCTACATGATATCTGATTAAAGTATAATCAAGATATATGTATGATACATGAAAATACAACTGATATCCCAAAATACTACATGATCTCAAAATACAACAGAAACTAAAACATCTGAAACATCATCAAATCCTTGCTCATGCCATCTTACACTTGCCTTTGTTTTTCCTTGAGGTACCTCAAACAACAACATGAGTGAGATAAGATTATTAAATCTAAGTAAGTTCTAGACTGCACCATTGAGTCTGCTCGACTCTATAGGGTTTACAAGTTCACTAACTCAACGACTAAGCTAACTTGCACACCACATAGTTATACAAGTAACATGTATGAGATGCAGGCTATCCCATTAGAAGCGTAATTTATGCCTAACAGTCTTTCACTACGCTTCGGGTAATTCGAGTGTCTCATAGCAAAGTGAATGCATTTCCCTTAACAATACTCATCATTCGAGTGGGATTTGGGTCACGAAGTATTCACATATTGAGGTGAAATATTTACCCCGACCAATACTCGTCATTTGAGTGGGATTCAGGACACAGATTTCCCTCACGAAGTGGAAAGTCTTTCCCTGGCCAATAACTCCCCTTTCAAGATGGGATTCAGGTCATGGACTCACTTCACGAAGTGTATTATCTTTCACCGACCAATACTTGTCACTTGAGTGGGATTCGGGTAACATACACACTTCATCACACTTGAATATTTTTCCCCAACCATTAACTCCATGTTTGAGTTGGGATTTGGTTCACACATTTTTTAATAGGCTATTCAGGATGACTTTCTTCAAAATCTAAATTTTTACTTAAGTCGGATACAAGTTCCTTTCTTTTGATGCGTAACCAATATCTCTAGAATAACACTTTCGCGATAATATTTTTAGTTAAAAACAGTGTAAAAATCAGCCCCCAAAAACGAATCCAATTAAATCAATAATTTCCAACTTAGATGTGAGCTTCGCCGAAATAAAGGTCCACATATTCCATACTCTAAATAGCTTAGTCGGACTTATTATTTATGAAACAAATATTGTAAATTAATTCTAAACATAAACAAAAAAATACTCATTGTAATACTTGTAATAACAATTTTATGTATATAAACTAGTACTATCAACCTAACAGTAGGTAAAACAATAACAATGTAATTAAGAAAATATTACATACTGATATTAAAAAGCTGCACTAACAAGTATAGGAAAAACTTCATGAAAAATTTCGAGAAAATAAATCTGGCAAGGTTAAGTAGTGAATGATCCAAGCACAGACTGGAAATTTGCAGAACCTAAATCTATGGTGCACTTATTTCTCAATGGGAAAAATAAGTGCTTTACAAATAAGTGATTTCTTCTTAAACTTCAATTTAAAAAACTTTGATGATTAAAAACTATGACTTAGGCCTGTTTATAGAGTTAGGAACTAGTAGAAACGTCTCAAAATTGTGTTGGAGTTGTTGGAGAAAAACCTGCTGAAGTGGGAGGGAATTGGTCTTACTGTTACTATATTTTAGGCTACAAAGCTCATGGCAAGTGACATGGCCTCATGGCAAAGGTCATGAGTGCAAAATGAGGAACGTGGCTGATCTGGGGGTCATGGCCATGGCCATGGCCTCATGGTGAGGGCGATGAGTGCAAAAATGGGAAATGTGGCTGATCTGGGGGTCATGGCCATGGCCATGGCCTCTGTGTGCTGGATTTTTGCTTCCTTTGATTTCTCTCATGCTGCCAAGTCATGGCCAACACCATGGCAAATGCCATGGAGGTCGCCACCATTTCCTTTTCTTTATATTTCCTTCAATTTTTTCCGTTTTCATCTCATTTTGTCGTGTATCGATTTCTATGTGTAAAGCACCTGAAATCCAGACAAAATACCAGTATTACATAATAAAAACATATAAAATTGACACTAAAATGCATGTGAATTGAGTCTAAATATATTATGTATTTTCATGTTATCAAACTCCCTTACATTTGAACCATTGATTGTCCTCAAGCAAGTTAGCTAGCATATAATAAATGAAATGCAACAACATAATTATAAAGACGTATGAAATAACAAAACATCGAAACTACCCATATGTTGCTGATGAAAATTAGTCCGGCTAGGACCGACTCAATAGGTACTAATGCAACACTAAGGGTATTATAACAACACAAACCACTCTCATGGATACAAGTCTCCCTCCTATGCATACTGGTTCCAATCATGCCATTGAATAAAAGTATAAATTCCTTATTTGTTTTAATCCTCTTTTGTTTGCGATAGTTGATAAGTGCAAATTGTATCTATTTTTGTATATACTTTTTGTTGTATTTATGGACTTTTTATTGTTAATATCATTGGACAAGCTCGACTTTTGTGTAAATACATTTAGTTTGTGTTTAGTTGTGTTTTTGTGTACATAGTGTACTATTTTATGTTTATCCGTTCATTTTATAGATATTGATGTATAATTGGAGCATGAGCAATAAAGTGTCGAAGAAACGACTTCGAACGCGCAATTTTGAGCAACTCGTCAACGAAAATAAGGCTCAAAATCAAAGAATAAGAAATCATCAATTTGATTGATATTTAGGCATTGTTAGATAGATAATTGAATACGCTTTCCAACACTTTGAACCAGGCGTAAACCGAAGTTACGGTTCTCAAGTTATGGCGAAAACAAAAAGCTGATTTTTTTCTCATGACAGTAGAGCGCGCTTAGCGGGATTGTGCCGCTTAGCGCGGTCCCCTAGAAATAATTGTGTTAAAATGGAAAAAATACACATTTTTAGGTTATGTTTTGGGGTATTTGTTCCCAACTCATCAAACCTTATTTTTTGATACATTAGCTTAGAAAACAACATTAGGGCCTTGCATACGGATGATCCGGGGTGGATTGCTCTTTGACCAACATTGACAAACCGGTAGATTTTTGGTTCATTTCTATTTTTCTTTGTGTATTCTCTATTGGTTGGGTTTGTATGTATATTTTCTTTAAACTCATGTATATTTGTCGCCCTTGGCGTTATATAAAACTTACTTTACGAATCTTTGTGGATTGTTGTCTTGGATTTTTACTATGTGTTAGGGATTTGAGTTTTTATAGACATATACTACTTAGATACTTATCTAGGATGACCATCTGTTAGTTTCTGAACTCTATAGAAAGATTTAGAGCTGACATTTACTTGGGTATCAAAGATTAATTCCTCTGTGTTATTTGTGTCGCTCTGAGAGATCGTCGATGCAAGCGAGCACAATTGACTTTTGTGTTGTTGAGGTGGTTGAGAGATTGCTACCAAGGTGATGTAGTTGACCTCTCCATTTGGGTTAGAAATGACTTAGGTTGTGAGTGATACATAGTGACATTGATGATTATTGTAGATTGAGTATAACAGGTCGATAGGTTTAAGTCTGTGAGAAGTAGTATATATGCATGCTTGATAAGTTATTCCTTTTTCCTTTTTATACATTTATTTTCTGTTAATACATTTTCTTTCAACCCATTTATCCCTAAACTCATTAAAAATAAATTTGTCGAACGACAAATCAATAACCAATCTCTGTGGACACGATACGGTATAACTTAAATATCACCCGGTAAATTAATAACTTACTTTTTGCTTTCCGCTTTACTGCTCCCAGCAAAATGGCGGCGTTGTTGGGGATTGGAGTTATTTATTTTGCATTGCGATAATTTCTTCGTTTTCGTAACATTTGTTGTATGGATGTTAGGACACTTTCTTTAGGTTTGTGCGGTGTGACAATACCATGGCACGACGAGAGGAGGTTACTAGCTCACACAATAAAGGCGTTGAGCTTATGACGTAAAACAAGCATGTTTTATTTGTATTTGTTTATGTATGTGTTGATTTGTATTTTAACAAGTTAAAATTGGACTTGTTTTAAATTATCAAATTTTCACTTTTCAACTTGTTAATTAACTTTCACCCGTTAGTTTTGTTATGTCAATTTTTGTTTCTCCACGAGTTTGTCGTGTTTAGCTTGTGGAAGTGTGTTTGTATGTTGTACATATTGTATGTTGATATTGTGTAGGTGAATATGGAGGCTGCACTGATGTGTGTTGAACTGGTTTTTTCTATTCTAGTGTACCGCGCTTGGGCGCGCTTAACACGCTCTCCTGTGTTGCACCAGTGAAGTTCTTTTTAGTTTTCACTTGGATTTCCTTTTCCCACTTCCACCTAGGCTTTAAATAGTAAATAATATTAGTATAATTAATTCTTTTGTTGTTGTTTGGACTCAATTTTGGTTCGATAGCTTGAGGTCGCTTTTAGTGATTTTCCAAGTTTGAGTGTTTCAACTTGCGAATTTGTGGTATTGATTCTCTTAAAATTTTGTATATGTTTGAGGTATGTGTTTTTCGCTTTCTATACTTTAGCATATTCATGATACTTAGACTTTTTACAATTTTTATGTCATTCATTCTTTTGTATACTTGTTCATTTGTGAATCACTTTATTTCCTACCCTTTTTGCGAAGTAGCTTTCCATTGTTAACATATGTTGGAGACCTTAACTCTTGTTTTAACTGGATTTTATTATGCTTAATATTTTGTTTGTATTGTTTGTATAAAAGCATGAACATGATCAAGACATTTTTTGAAGGGGCCAAATGTGTGCTTCGAATGGACTAGTAAGGCGTACCCTTCGACAGGGACTCATATGTATGCCCCTCAAGTCCACCACTATATATCTTTTGAAGGGGCCATCAACCATGTGCTGAAGTTTGTCAAGGATGGAAATGCAGCATACTAAAAAGGAATGTTGTCCAGTCGAAGCTAGTACAAACGTAGTCAATGTCTTGTCGAAGCCTGCATGGAGGAGGTCTAAACTTTGTGACTCCAAGCAAGCACACAACAAGTCAATGCTCAAATAAAGACTTGCACGAAGGGAGCCACATGCCCAAACGAAAGAGGCATGCAGGAGGCAAAATGTCCAGGTTCAAAAGAGGCATTCAGAAGGCAAAATGTCCAGATTCGAAAGAGGCATGCAGGAGGCAAAATGTTCAGATTCGAAAGAGGCATGCAGGAGGCAAAATGTCCAGATTCGAAAGAGGCATGCAGAAGGCAAAATGTCCAGATTCGAAAGAGGCATGCAGGAGCCAAAATGTCCAGATTCGAAAGAGGCATGCAGAAGGCAAAATGTCCAGATTTGAAAGAGGCATGCAGAAGGCAAAATGTCCAGATTCAAAAGAGGCATGCAGAAGGTAAAAAAAGTGCAAATCGAAGGACCCCAAAAGGGACCTTTTTGCCTTGGAAATGAAATAGATTACAAGAGGCTCTTTTCCTTGTGAATCTAAACCAAACTGTGTCAGAGGCCCATGCCCAGTCGAAGGATGCAAGCCAAACTTGTGTCGAAAGAGGTCAAAAGGCCAATCGAAGGATGCAAGCCAAGCTTGTGTCGAAAGAGGCCAAAAGGCCAATCGAAAGTGCTGAAACAAAGAACACTTGTATTTCTCCAATTTTTGTCAAAATAATATTTTTATCTGTTTTCTCCCTTTATGACAGTTTCCTCTTAATTTTGGTACTGGAAAATCCCAATGCACTTGTTCAAGCTTGAACTTTGAAAGTCCTTGTGAGAAAGGCCTTGAAGAATGAGAGGGCAAATTTTGGGGTACAACATTTAGTATACTCTATTATTAATAAAAACTGTGCCACAAGTGATTAGGAAGAGAAATTGAC